AGTATGGATTGCATCTCAATATCAGGAAAACAAAGATTCTTACCACTGGCAGCATCAAGATGGATAGAGAAGAGATTGAAACTGTCAACAGCTTCATCTTGCTTGGATCCACAATTAACACCCTTGGTACCAGCAGTCAGAAAATAAGGAGATGCATCATACTGGGAGAAGTCTGCAGTTAGGAAACTTTTCAAATTATTGAGGAGTAGTGATGCCAGTTTGAAGACTAACTAAGATGAGTCTGATTCAGGCCATAGCCTTTCCAATTACTAGCTAGCATCTGAGAGCTAGACAATCAATAAGGATAACAGGAAAAGAATTGATGCCTTTGAGCTTTGATGTTGCAGAAGAGCACTGAACAGCCCATGGATGGCCAAGAGAACAAACAGATATGTCTTCAAGAGGGTGCAGCAGGAGTGCTTTTTGGAGGCAAGAAGGATGAGGCTTCACCTCACATACTTTGGAAATGTTGCTAAGGGTGCTATTCCTTGGAGAAGGGTATGATTCTGGCAAGAATGGAGGGTCAGTGAATGAGAGGAAGATTCTCAACCAAGTGGATTGACACGGTGACTGCTGGCCTCTTGTGTATCAGGAAGTGTAACGATGGCACAGGATAGAACAGCGCTCAGATCTTTTATGCATAGGGTCGCTATTGTTCATCAACAGCACCTGACAACAACAACAACAACAGCATAGAATTTGTTTTCAGTATCTTAATTATCAAAATAATACATTTTTATTGTGGTAATGCCCATTTTTTTTTTCATCAGGCTACAGAAACATAAGTTCAGAGTTTGCTTGCTTACTTTTGCTCATCTTTATCACCAGTACATTACACACAGCTTAAATTTATAGCTGATACTAAGTAAATACTTATTCATTGACTGATCTAGATCTCATATTATTATTTAGAAATAAAGAAAATTGCTTATGAAGCTACTGCAGTGATTTCACTAAAGTTCAGTTCCTGTTAGTATAATGTTGTTATGTGCCATCGAGTCTCCCGTGACTCATAGTGACTTTATGCGCATATCTCTGAACCCTGTCCTATCCCGAGAAATTTCATTGTCTCTGACACACTGTCTAATGAGGAAAGAACGGGACATAGGGGCACACAGCCATGAGCATCTTTCTGAAGGGTCAGAGAGAGTAAGAATAGCACAATCCATCACCATCCCAGAACAGAAAGCAGATAAAGAGCCCATAGCCCAACCACATGCATCTAGAGCTACACCAGAAGGAAGAGATTCCTTTATTCATTGCTAACTCACAAACTCATAGTTGAAGTACTGAGTTTATTACATTTATTTTAGGGAAGTAAGTTCTAGAGTGGGGGAGGCAAAGAAAATCCACCAAATACAAGTCCAGGTTCCAAGGCACAACTCCTCAATTAGCCCAGGTGCCAGTTTCAGTTCAGCAGTCAAGTCCAAATCATCCAGCACGTTTTGCCTCAGAGTAATTATAAGTCAGCTTTTTCTTCAGAATTCCAGCAAGAACAGCAAAAACGTTTAACTGTGGCCAGCACAAATGCAAGACGCCTTAGGTCACACCTTGCCACAATTTCTCCACTTCAATACCACAGTCTCTCCAACATCATCACCAGGGTTTTTCTCCAAGTCTCCCTCAAGTCTTGCTGCCCAGTGTGGGAAATTCTCTTTCTCTTATTCTAGTCTCACAGCTATTGATGATTTGCAAGATCATGTATCTACAGTTAAGGTAAATGAAGCAAGAGGAGGCGAACTACTTCTGAAATAACAGGTCTTCAAAAAATTGTATGAATAATGAAATAATATCGTTGACTACACTGCTAGAAGATGAGCCTCATGTGGATGAGTGTGGAAACTACAGAACAATATCGATTTCACATGCAAGCAAGATTCTACTGAAGATTATCCAAAAATGACTGGAACAGCACATCAGCAGAGAATTGCCAGAAGTCCAGGCTGGGTTTAAAAGGGGTCGTGGTACTAGGGATATTGTAGCTGATGTTAGATGGATCTTAGCTGAAAGCAGGGAATACCAGAAGAATGCCTATCTGTGTTTCATTGATTATGCAAAGGCGTTTGACTGTGGATCATAACAAACTGTGGCTGACTCTGAGAAGAATGGGAATCCCAGAACATTTAATCGTGCTAATGCGACACCTATACTTGGACAAAGAGGCAGTAGTCAGAACAGAGCAGGGTAACACTGTATGGTTCAAAATTGGGAAGGGTATACGTGAGGGGTGTGTCCTATCTCCATACCTTTTCAACATGTATGCAGAGCAGATTATCCGGGAGGCTGGGCTCTATGAGGAGAATTGTGGCATCAGGATTGGTGGAAGATCTATTAACAATCTGCGTTATGCAGACGACACAACCCTGCTTGCTGAAACTGAGGAGGACCTCATGCACTTGCTGCAGAGGGTCAGGGACTGCAGCCTTCAGTATGGACTGAGGCTCAATATCAAGAAGACAAAGATTCTCACCACTGGACCAATCGGTAGCATCAGGATGGATGACGAAGAGATTGAGATTGTTCACAGTTTCAGTTTGCTCGGCTCCACGGTCAACAATCTTGGCACCAGCAGCCAGGAAATAAAAAAAAAATGTATTGTGATGGGAAAGTCTGCTGTTAGGGACCTCTCTAAAGTACTCAAGAGCAACGGTTTCTCTCTGGAGACTAAGGTCTGCCTGATACAGGCCATGGTCTTTGCAATCACGTGTACAGGAAAAGAATTGATGCCTTTGAGCTGTGGTGCTGGAGAAGAGTATTAATGTACCATGGACTGTCAGGAAAACAAACAGATTCATCCTGGAGAGGATTAAACCAAGCAACTCCTTGGAGGCAAGGATTCTGGGGCTTCATCTGACATACTTTGGGCATGTTGCAAGGAGGGACAGATCCTTGGAGAGGGACATCATGCTTGGGAGGGTGGAGGGATGGCGCAAGAGGGGAAGACCCCCTATGAGATGGATTGATTCAGTGACTGGGGTAATCGGGATGGGTGTGTCAGAGGCAGTGTGATTGGCACAGGATAGAGCAGGGTTTAGGGCTGTTGTACATACGGTCGCTATGAGTCACAAACGACTCGATGGCACATAACAACAACAACAATCATTAATATCACGTGTAAATGAAATTTAGCTGAAGATAATTTAAAAATGGGTAGAACAGTATATTCATAGGGCTATGCCAGAGATTGAGTCTGGATTAAGAGAGAACATGGTACCAGGGATATATATAATTGCTGATGTTAGATTGTTTTTGGTTGAATGTTAGGAGTATCAGAAAAAAATGTTTATTTGTTTTTTATTGATTGCACAAAGGTATTTGGCTGTGTGAAGCATAACAAATTTGGGCTAACATTAAGAATAATGGAGATTCCAGTTTGTGTTCATGAAAAACCTCTAACACTGTGCAGTTTAAAATTAAGAAAGATCAGGGTTGTACTCTATCTCCATACTCATTCAATCCATATACTCAGGAAGATCGATTATATGAAGACGATTGTGGCATAAGGATTGGATAAAGACACATCAACATCTTTTATTTGTGTATAACAAAACCTTGCTGGCAGGAAGTAAAGAAGATTTTAAGGAGTTCGTGCAGAAGATCAAAGACTACAGCCTTCCATATGAGTTATAACACAACATCTCGAAAACAATAATCCTCACCACTGGTCCAATAGGCAACATCATGATAAATGGAGAAAAAATTAAAGTTGCCAACAATTTCATTTTACTTGTTTCCATAATCAACACTCATGGTAGCAGCAGATAATAGGATTAGGGAATTCTGATGTCCCTAACCTCTTCCAGTGTGTGATAAAGCAAAGATAACAGTCTAAAAACAAAGGTACACTTTATAAAAATCAAGGTATTTTCAGTTGCCTCCTATGTATCTGAAATTTGGACAGTGAATAAGAAATATAGCTTTGAATTATTATGTTTTTGTAGGTATTGAATATCTCATGAACTGTCAAAAGAACAAATTAATCTGTTTTAATGGAAGTGCAACTAGAGTGCTACTTAGAGGCAAGGATGTGGAAACTTTTTCTCACATACTGTAGGCATGTTACCAGAATGGGCCAGTCCTTGGAGAAATACATTCTGGGAAATGTACACGGCCAGTGAAAGAGAGAAAGACCTTCAGTGAGATGCATTGACACCACAACCACAACAAGGGACTTGATCATGACAGAGATTAAGATGATGGTGCAAGATAGGGCAAGGTTCAGATCTGTTTTTCATAGGGTTGCTCTAAGTGATAATCCACTGGTTGGCACCTAACAACAGCAACAAAACTAATTAAAAGCTTGGTTGTTTGAACCCACACCATCATCAAGGATAAAAAGCCTGGTTGTCTGCTTTGCTTTGAGAAGTGGTGATATCAGTCTAGAGACTAAGGTGCAACACAGTCTTCATGTTTACTTACTACACCTCAGAGAGCTGGACAATGACTAAGGATAACAGAAGAAGGATTGATGCCATTGAATTGTGGTACTGGAGGAGCATCTTGGACATACCATGGACCACCAAAAAACCCCAAAAACAAAAAACAAGTTAAGTCTGTCTTGCAAAGGGTGAAACCAAGTTTCTCTTTGGAGGCTAGGATTTTTAAGCTCTGTCTCACATACTTTGGGCACATGGCCAGGAAGGACCAGTCCTTGGAAGAGGACATCATGCTTAGAAGGGTAGAGTGACACAGCAGGAGAATTAGACCCCAGATGAAGTGGATTGATACAGTAACTGGGGTAATGAGGGAAGTTTTGTCAGAGTCAGAGAGACTGGCTCAGAATAGGAAAGGTTTCAGCACTGTTGTACAAAGGGTCATTATGAGTTACAGACAACTAAACAGCACATAGCAACAACAATTTTGCTAAAGGGTATAGCCTAGAAAACACTGTTTGGTGTGAATGTAAATATACTGCACATAAGATTGCCGTGGTTGAAATTGACTCAGTGATAAACAGTACTAGTATTCGTCTAATTCTTACCTTCCTCTTTCCTGCTCAGATTCCTACATGCAAGGTTGCTCCGTGTGGAACTCCTTCAGTAGAGGACTCAGCATGCCCAGGACCTTTGGCCTGAAAGTGGACAGTAACATATTCTACAGTATTTTAGGCCATGCACTGCTGGTGGGTAAGTTAAACAAACTTGCTTAATTTTTAAATTATCTAAGAGGATATATATTTTGTCGAAAAGATTGTTCTTGTTGTCATGTGCTGCCAAATTTTAGTTTTAGAAAAACTGGTTCATTGATAACTGGAAATAGGCTATAGTTCAAAATTTTAAATATGAGTCTAGATATAACTTGTTGGTGTTATAAACTTTATTAATAAGAAGCTGATCTTTTAAGATAGATATTTTAGTTTGGAATCATAAATATGCAAATGTACTGGTTGTCACAATCAATTATCAGTCATGTAAATATACCTTTCACAGTATCAGGTTGTTGTAAAAAAAATGTACTTAGGCCAAGGGTTTAAAAATCTTAAATTTTGTTCTTAACTGCTCCAGTGGGAAATTAGATGATTAGATAGATAGATAGATAGATAGATAGATAGATAGATAGATAGACAGACAGATAGATAGGTATAGCCATTAAGTCAACTACAACTCATAGTGACACTATAAATAAGAGATATGAACCTTGTCCTATCTGGTGTCATCCTTATAATCTCTGACACACTTAAACTCATTGCTACAGACACTGCCAATCTACCTGGCTGAGGGTCTTCCTCTCCTTTGCCATCCCTCCACCTTTCCAATCATGATATCCTTCTCCAAGGAATAATCTTTCCTAGTAACATCCCCAAAGAATGTAATATGAAGCTTTATCATCTTTACCTACAAGGACCACTCTGGCTACATCTTTTCCAAGACATATCTCTTAATTCTTTTTTGGTAGCCCATGAGAGATTCAGTACTCTTCTCCAACACCACTGTTCAAAGGCATCAAGTCTTCTTTCTTCCTTATTCATTGTCAAGTTCTCAGACACATAGTAGGTCATTGAAAAGACCATGGCCTGAATAAGGTGCATCTTAGTCTTCAAACTGATATCATTGTTCATCAATAGTTTAGAGAGGCCCTTCAATGCAGACTTTACCAGTAAAATACATCCCCTGATCTCCTGACTGGTGGTACCAAGGGTATTGAATGTGATCCAAGCAAGGTGAAGTTGAAACCTTTTCTCCATTTCTTATGATGTTGCCTCTTGGTCAATTGTTGAGGATTTTTGTTTTCTTGATATTGAGATGCAATCTGTATTGAAGACTGCAATGATTAATCTTCAGCAAATGCTTCAAGTCCTCATCACTTTCAGCAAGTAAGAGCGAGTTATCTGTATAGCAAAAGTTGTTGATGAATCTTCTTCCTATCCTGATACCATGTTCTTCTTCATAGAGTCTTTAATAATGTTCTTAGTGTGAAGATTGAGTAAGTATGGAAGAAGGATAAAACCACAACACACAACTTTCTTAATTTTGATGTCTTCCGTTTCTCTGTTCATACAAAGCCATTTTTCTAGGAATAGGTTTCTCATAAACACAATTAACTATTTTGGGATTCCCATTCATTTTAATGTTAGCCATAATTTGTTATGATATGATTATTATTTAAACCTGTACATCAACAGTTAAAACCAAAGAGAAGGATATTGATGATTTCTACCAAATTTTGTACTCTAAAATGGACCAAACATGCATTCAAGATATGTTAATGATAATTAGTGATTGGAATGCAAAATTTGGAAGCAATGAAGAAATTAGGGTAGTTGGAAAATATGGACTTGGTAGCAGAAATGAGGCTGGAAATAGATCCTAGTGTGTATGTTCAATGATTTATTCACTTTATTTTTCAAAAACACAAACAGGATCTTTATAGATGAGCCATCATCCTACAGATGGACTATATCAGAATCAGATTTACTACATCTATGAATGAAATGTTGTAGAAGCTCAATATTAGCAGCCAAAACAAGGCCAGGTGCTGACTGTGAGAGAGACCATCACTTACTTATGTGTACGTTCAAATTGAAACTAAATAAAGTTTGTTAAAAATCCATGAAAACAAAAATATGATCTTGAGTCCATCCCACATGATTTCCAAATTATATTAAGTTTAAAGCATTGAACAGTAATGATCAAAGACTAGATGAGTTGTGGGCTGACATCAAGGATATCATCCATGGAGAGAGCAAAAGCTCACTAAAAAGACAGAAGAGAGAAAAAAAAATCAATCTAAAATGGATGTCTGTGGTGTTAGCTTAAACGTTGGCTTTTTTTAAGCTATTACAGTTAGCTCCCTTTAGTCTCCACCTACCTCAAGTGTACACTTGTCTTGCAAGTCAGCATGATTTTGCTAATAATCAACAGCTGTGGGACTAGGATAAGAGAAAGAGTGTTTCCCACATTGGACAGCAAGAATTGAGGACAAGACTTGTGTCAGTAAGACTTGAGGAATACTGCAGCAAGATCCTGGTGATGGTGGTGGAGATACTGTGGTATTGTTTTGGGGAAACTGAGGAAAGGTGTTACGTGGAGAAGCCCTGAAGTAAAGACAACAGTTAAAGAACTTTGCTCTTCTTGCTCGGTGCTTGAAGGAGAAGCTGACTTATAACCACTCTGAGACGAACCTTGCTGAATGATTTGGATTTGACAGCTGAACTGAGACCACAGTTTGACTAATTGAGGCATTGTGCCTTGGAACTTGGGCTAAAACCTAGAGTTGTATTGGGTGATAGTCTTTGCTTCCCTTCCCCCACTCTCTAACTTACTTTTCTAATAAACCCCATTCTCAGTATCCCAACTATGAATCTGTGTGTCAAAACAAACCTCTTGCTGTTGGTGTGGCTCTAATGGGGCTGGGCTATGGGTTGTTTATAAGATTTCTGCTCTAGGGCAAGGAGAGGCTATGCTATCCTTACTTCCTTTGGCCCTTTCATAGAGACACAGTCCTGTACCTCCATGTTCTTTTTTTTTCTTCTTTAGACATGTGGTGTCGGAAAGAGTGAGACTGACAGTTTCAAATTCACAGACCCATGGTTTAGTTTTGTGAATGTGAAACCTGGAGAGATGTACAGTTAAAATGGTTATTATTTGTTTCAAAGAAGTGGATGAGACAACCTAAAAGATTACTTTTACTGTTATTAAGGTAGAAAGAAAATTTGAGAAGCTGCTCTATGGCTTGAGACAAAATTATATGGTGATGAAGGTGAATCTGATAATTTCTTGAAAAGTCTATGTATTCTACTTTTTTGCCCTTTTATATGTAATAAAACAAAAACAATTAAATCCAGGCCTGAGGGCTGCAGATTAAAATCACTCACTTTTGACTTGATGGCATAACTTTCTATCTACCAGGTCCACAGAGCTCTTTATGTTGTTGTTGTTGTTAAGTTACCATAGATGACTCATAGCGACCCTATGAATCAAAGACCTGAACAACTGTATAACTTTCATTGTTTCTCCAAGTTCATAGAGTTTCTGGACAATTGTTCAGGTCTTCTGTTCATAGGGTCATTGTGAGTTATCTACGACTTGATGGCACTTAATAACCGCAGCATCAACATAGAGAGAGCTCTGTGGGCCTGGTGGATAGAAAGTTATGCTATAAAGCCAAAGGTGGGTGATTTTAATCTGCAGCCCTCAGTCTGGTTTTAATTCTTTTTGGTCAAATATTCTTGTAAGTGGTATAGCACTGATCTGTCCATTTGCTGTACAGAGGTGACTCATGGTTTCTGTGATGTTTAACATTGTGACACTGATGGGTCAAATGCCATAATGTTTACCCATGGTAGACAATGTTTGGTGGAGCTCCCTGATTAAAACAAGCTTGGAAGCAGGAGTGTCATCCACTTCAAAATAGCTTGCTTCTGGAAACTCTATGAACTTGGAAAAACTATGAAAGTTATACAGTTGTTCAGGTCTTTTGTTCATAGGGTCACTATGAGTCGTCTATGACTCAATGGCACTTAACAATAATAATATGTAATAATGTTATGTTGATATATATTATAAGGCTTTTGTTAATTGAATGGTAAGGCAAAGGCTTTTTTTTTGTTGTTGTTGATTGGGACACATTGTAATTAGACGAAAAATGGAAGCCAGTTTAATAGTAATTGGGTATTGAAAAAAGGAATTGATTTGTCCTAAAATAATGCTTAAACTAGTAGAATTTGATATATAGTGAGGAGCTTAGCCTAAGAAAGATTAAAGTCCACTCGGTACTCTGAGGAGTATTACCTTTGAAGGGAGACAAGCAGAAAAGAGACTTTTGCATGTATATACATATACCGCAATCCTGGAGATCTGTGGTTCAAGGCCACCAGGTGCTCTGTGGGAGAAAGATGGGAAATTTCCTTCCGTGTGATTAAATGCCCCTGAAAACCCACCAGAGGGTTAGCTCTGAGTCAGTTTTGACTTGATGGTACACAACAATAACATATATATCAAGGGCTTTATATCTTTAGTGAATAGCATATTAATGATTTCATTGTAGCTATCTTTGTTAAAATGATTACTGAATCTTAATAATCAAAGTGATTTTGTAGTCAGAACAAACAAACAAAACCATGAAAGGTTCTCACTGAAGGGAAGACTGTGTAATATGTGTGAAATAGCTATTTATAGTAACTAATTCTGTTACGCACTTAATTTAAGAATGATTGATTGAGATAAACCTATAAATATTTCAATTCGGAGAGTGAAAACGGTTTAGAGAGAAAATACAAAATAAATAAATTTGCATTAAACAAATATCCAGCTTTAAAAATAAAAAAAGCTAAGTACAAAAGTAGCAAACGGCTGTAGAAATTCTGATTAAAAAGGAAAGCTACAAAAACTTAACCTAGAGAGCTGGTTTCTGGTTGCTCTGTGCACCACATACCAAGGACAAATGACAAACTTTAGAAGAGGTGGGTGCACGCAGAAGAAATTCCCAGTAAGCCTCATGAGACCTGAAACTGCTGTTGCGTAGATGCATGGACACCTGGCCCCCTTGATCCCACAACAGATAGGGATAGTACAGCCAGAGAGTAGTTTGTCTCAGGCTGTACTGCACACCAGAAATGCTAAGGACAATTACAAATTTGAGAAGAGGAAAGTGCAGACAAGAGAGATTCCCACCAGGATATGC